GAGGCCACCATACACCCGGTAAAGGAACGGGAGTCGTAGGGCTTGACAAACAGTGGCTGGGGTAAGAATTGCCCATTGTCGCGGGCAGCTCGCTTGAGTTGTTTCACGATCGTTCGCCACACTGGTCGCTTCAGATAGGGTCTCAGTAATTCCGGATAGGAATCGCGGGATACTTCAAATTTGTGAACGCCCAATCTATCAAAGGCCTCCGCCATGACAGTGTGATTGCCAACCACCATTTTTTGAGGATGCAAGGAGAGATACTCACCAAGTTCCTCAAAGGATCTTGTTGGTATTCGCTTTGACGAAAGATCATTGCATACTTGCTCAAACTCTGGTTCAAGAGGTTGGTTTCCTTTTGCCTTCTGTACGAGCGCTGATGTAATCGGCAATCTTGAATCGCTCTTTGTATCGTTCTGGCTGAAGGATCCATTTTCATCATTCAAACCACAAGAGGCAGCGCCTCATTCGCCGTATCTGGTGCCACCCCCAGCAAGGCTGTCACTTGGTCTTGTTGAAGTCGCCATATCTCATTTAGCAGTTGTGATCTTTATCACGTTCTCGAGGGGCAAGATTATCAAGCTCGCTCTGTTCCGTCAAAGCTATGATCCACGTCTGGAACTAAACTAAACCAGTGAAGCGGCAAACGCCTTATAATCACGGTGGAGACTGAATATTCCTCAGAGCAAACAAACGGAGACATGAATGGCAACAACAACCACAGCAACATGTAAGCAACAACAAACAAATCTAGCTAGAAGCAGCGACAGCAACAGTACAAGTCGATCGAAATTAAGATAGATTCTTACGTAGAAGCCGACGAGTATTGCCATGGCCACTATAGTATATAAGAATGCCACAGAAGAAATGGAGCGCGTAGTCCAGAAAGAGCTCACAGATTCGGAGGCATCGTGCCTGCTGACGACATTCTCGCACAGGCCGTACTGATCTCCTTTGGACAATTCAAGGATCGCGACATCAACTCTCTCTACAACAAAATCCAGAACATGGTGAAAATTGCTACGAAATCGAAGCTCATGCATGTATCTGACAGACTACGTTTTTGACGGATTGGTTCCAATGGCGTTCGGCCAAGGAAACACAGTGTTGCAATACGCACTTCGGGGTTCCGATTTGTACAGCGCCAAAATTGGAGATTCAGCAACGATCGAGGCAGAAGTGAAAGCGTCGAGACTGCTTCATGAGGGACAGCACTGCCCGTCTGTAATGCCAGTCTTTGACAGTGTCAAAATCGATGAAAATCGCGTTGCCATGATATCGCCTTTCTATCCAATTCCCGTGTCTCACACCACAACCGTGAACAATGCCACAATCGTCAACGTGGCGCTTTGTGGGCTTGCTACGGTCAAGGCATTTTCCAACAAAAAGATGTGTCACGGCGATCTGAAACCCTCCAACATGATGTTCCAGGCGGGAAACCGGATAGTGGTTTCCGTAGACTTTGGATCCTGTGTCGCATATGGGAACACACTTGCAGCGACATCGCCTGCGTTCGGGATGGACTGCGAGACCGAGGCTTCACTTTGCTACGATTTGACGTGTCTCGCAGCATCCATCATGTTTCTTTCGGGGGTCCAATTGACCGATATCGAGAGGATGCTCGTTCCCTATTGGCACTGCGGACTGGGCTGCACTTTTCCATTGCTACACTTTGTCTCGATGAAAGTATTGTCCAAGTGGATGAGATATGGGCAAAGTGCAAATTGTTGGTCGAAGTTAGCCTTCCAAATGCCAACTGGGTTTTTGACCTGGATGGGGTGTGGCCGAAGAAGAAGAAATGAGACCAAATTTCAGGGCAAGCACAAGGAAGACCCCAATCCTCTGAAAATGGCTAAACACTGAGCTAACGCCACACAATGGTTCAGACTGTAGCTGGTTGTACAGAGCCATGATCAACGGTTTGGTATCATTGGTTCTACCGCTCTGAATTCTCATGTCTTCTTGCGGCAATGTCACGCACCAGTGTTGACTGCCCACACCAATGCCACTGAGTTCCGTGGAACCCAGAGCTCTCTGGTGTGAATGCTGTGGCTTTCTGTCACTAGCTTGAATGGAATTTCCGTTGTGGGAAACAAGTAGACTTGGCTGTCCTTGCTTAGCTTCATCGGAGCAATTCAGGAGACAGATGCAATTCTGCGGGTTGAATTGGCAGCACTGTGCCCCGAGCAGAGAGTCCTCCACATTAGAGAGGATGTCATACTCTTGACGCGTGCTGTTGAAGAGACTAAAGGTAGCGAGAGATGTATTACGAATGATGTTATAAGATTATGAGGAAACGCTACTTTGTTGTCTCTGGATATCTGTAGATCTGTATATGGGTGGAGGCTAGATTCCGGTTGACGGTGGACGGTCAGACGGCCGGAATCAGCACACCCTCAGCCTCTACTCAGGTATGGGCTGGAGATAGCGTGCGCGTTTGAGAATGTGGTGAGCTGTGGGGTGATGCTTTGCTGAAAGCCATCTGTCAGGCGTATCATTCTCTCGTTGCTCAGCCGGCAGCCGAATTACCTAGGAATTGGGGCACGGCTGTTTGTATGCCGTACTCTCTGATCGCAATTTATAAGCGCATTGGTCGATGTGGCTCTTGCGTCTGTACTTTGATTCTGGAAGCTGTTGTTAAGTGCGAGATCCAACGGCCACCTCGTTTGTCTCGGTTTGGATTCTTCTCTTTTCAAAAAGACACAAAACGCCTTCAAGAAATCATCGGAACCCTCCTATATTATGGCAGTAGCAGTGGACTCAACCATTAGTAGCCCTTGGACACACTTCCTCAGCCCAGACCAAAGGAACTTCAGGCCACCAAGAGAGTGCAGCTCAACTACTAGACTATTGCTTAACCCACCCAGACCCCACAGTCTAGATACCATGCAACGGCATGATCCTGTCCATCACAGTTATGCATCATACACTCTGAAACCGAAGCACGCTCCAGAGTGGCAGGCCCTTCAACCTATCTGACTCAATACAACAAACAAACACAGCTCCCAAACCAACGGACAAGCTCCCTCCACACAACGAGCCATCCTAATCATCAGCTCCATTCTACACATGGTGCTGCCTCAGCTAAGGAAGCAGAACGCAGCTTCTTCACTCACAATGCCAGACAGGAAGGCGTGTCACAATCCGCAGGAACCTTGGGGACGAATGAGGCCACACCCCCACAACCAGCCACCCC